ATTTGACTGGATGATCTGGTTGAACTGTAAAGTGCCTTGAGATGACGTGCGTTGTGATTTGGCGCTATAGAAATAAACTGATTTGAAACCAATTGAATTGAAATTAAAAGTGCAGATAAAAGCCATTTCAATATTTCCTTTAACCTTTGCCACCAATAAAATTAACACTCAATTATAAAATTCCAGTCAAAATAAATTAGCTTCCCAAAAACACTGATTATTGGCTGAGGTTTAAAGAGTCAGAAATAAGAAAATAGTTAGAAAAATATGAACTGGAAGCTAAGACGCCTCACACCCACCTAAGGCCTGCTGGCAGTGAAGGATATGGAAGTCATTATGCATGCATGCTGCCAGCAGCAGGTGCTGATGGGTCGGATGCCACTTCAGCCTCCACACCCCTCCTCCCACTGCGCTCTCCCCGAGGGGCTGCCGCATGTTCCTGCCGTCCCACAGCAACACATGCTCATCGTAGCTGCAGGAGGATAAGATTCAGCGCGGTTACACCGCAGCAGTGCCTCTTTAGTTGGGAGAGAAGGATACTGACCTGCCTGTGGCCAGGATATGTTCCAGATGAGGGCTGCTGTGAATGCTGCACACACCCATGGAGTGCCTTAAACGGAAAAGCCCAGAATTCACCAGCGAGGTTTGCCAGAAAAACATCAGTAGTGACACAATTTCACTCAGTTATTACCTTTTACTGGTGAAAGCAGGGCTTGATGGACTCGCTCTGAGGTCCCAACCCTTGAGTTTGCAATCATCGCCCCCTGGGAAGAAAACGCAATCAATGAAAACTCACTGAACGACTTTTCAATTCTGCTAATCGGGGAAAAAAGTGGAGCTTCAGGGCCGACATCCTATAACTGCTTTCTGTGGAAGAAGCTAATAACTGCACATCACCTTATAAATGGAAGGGAAACATGGAGGGAGGTTGGATCTGTTTTTTTTTATCATTCCCTGGTCAGACCGTTTCACCCATTCAGCACAGTTCATCTCATCCCCACACAGATCTCTGCTACAGCCTCAACTTTCACTTCAGGCATAGTAAAGTCTAACAGCAGCAGTATTTCCATGTCTTAACATAAACTGCTTTTGGCTGAAAGGATAATTCAGATTAATCGATTACTGAAATAATCAACTAACTTGATTCTTTCTTATCCAATGGTCATCCAGAGTGACGGTGCAGTGCAAAAAACTGAAATCTAAATAAGTTATTTTTCTTGAATTGAGGGGGTGAGAAACTTTAACCTGACTCCGCCAGATGGATTTGCTGGATTTGCTCCGCATATCCATCTGGAAACCTTCCGTTGAAGTAATTTTGGGAAGGGGCGAAAATACTGGCTAGCTGATTGGCCTATGTTGGTCAGATCAACGAAGCATATGACTTACTAACAGAGCGACGACG